TATATATATATATATATAAGAATAAAAATGGAAAAGCACCAATGCAAAGGAAAATATTATATTTGCCACTTTTATGGGTAAAAATAAGCTTTTTATATTCTAATTTTCCAAACAGAGCCTCTGAAAAAAAAAGAGACAGTCCCCTTTTGGCAGCATTTTTCACCCAGCTAGATACGACTTGCAAAGCAATTTTCACCAACCCCTGAAACACATTTTGCCCCGTGTTGCACTTGGTGTCCAGAATAGTTAGCACAGGTTACTAATGTGAAACTCAGCACTGGTGTCTCAACGTAAACACAGCAACTTATAGTTTTGCTTGGTTGCTTTGACCTGCTTGCARTTTTTCTTTTGTTTACACACATTTTATGGTGCTTGGAACAAAATGACCACAACATGTAATTTAAGCACCAACCCCCTGAACCAGTTCTGCTAAAYKACAAACACAGCTCCTGCTCTACACTCCAGTTTCAGTTCTAAAACACATTTTCTTAAAAACACTGCACACAGTGTTCTGCGTTTGGCAACTTTTTTCACGAAGAAAATCTCTTGTTGTCTCAAGGATCGCACTGCCATTCAAAATGTTAAAGTTAATCGTCCTACTACGTGCATCGACTCATCACATGGGCAAWCATCTGTTACACAGATTTACATTTAGCAGTTAGAACTTTAGCTTTTAGAGTGAGAGGAAGACGAGAAGAATGGGAAGGATGAGGACGAGGAAGGCCAAGGAGCGTAATCTGTGATGAGATCTGAGCCATTTTGGTTGACTGTGTGATCATAGCATTTTTTTCTCCATAACTGTAAATTCTTCTGTTGTTTTGTGTGCTTGTTGGGATGTACAGTATATGTTGTTTTTGTGGGAAAAATGAAATATATTTGTGACTATATATTTGATCTGAGTATAAAAACCTAATTCTAAGATATTTTACAGCACACTCATGTACTGTCTGTAGTAAGTGTAACGCTGAACAAAAAAAAAGGTTAAAGTGATTTTGATAAATGAAGAAAAAGTCGGTGCTTTACATTGAGCACATCAGTGTTCAAATGGTTCTTTTGTTTGTCATCTGAAGGCAAAGTACCACGTTGAGAAGAAATTACATTGTTTTGAATGTAAAGTTTCATTTTGCAGGAGAAATGAGGGTTTTTGCCCATTGTGTGTGTGATTTTTGATTTGCGCATTACGAGAGAATGAGGTTTGCGTTCAGAAAAGTTGTGTAAACAATCGAGAAAAGCTGTAAAATGAATCACACRTATGGCTAATGAAACTAAAAAACAATATGCCAGTATAAGTACTGCAATTTATGTGTGTATATATACGCATATATATAGTTTAGTTTTGAAAATGTAATGCATTTTTCTTTGTAGACAATAAAGATTATTTCAAAAGCTTCAGTATCTGATATTTGTTCCTTTTTTCTATGTTTTGATCGGCTCACGGTCTGATCTGACAGCACTGTTTGGTTGTGAGCTCCGTTTGAACTGTTTTGAAACAATAGTTTGGAGTCAGAGGATTTCTGAATGCAGTTGTGTTTASAGTTTTAGAGAAATGGATGGATAGTTTCAATAAATGTGTCTTAGCGATTGAGAAAAACTGTAAACTGTGACACCAGTCGTTCACAAGTGACAAACGTTGCAAACACGAGTGATTTTTACCTCTTTTATCTCCTCACTGGGTTCCACAGTTACAATACATGAGAACATTTGAAAAACATCTGTGTTTAAAATAATGGCTGGTGACAAATGAAGCTGTGCCGAAGTTTAACACAGCTGTCACTTTCACAACAATAAGTCTAATCACGTGCAGCGTGGCCCTTTGTACTATCCTCGCAGTTCAGCTGAAAACAATGCATATCTTCTGCAGGAACCAAATCCGCCTAAATCCACACCCAAATAGTTTTCCCTCATCTGTCACAAGAACAAAGCGGCCCGAGGCAGACTGCACGATGGAATCTTGAGCTGTTCACAAAGGTGGAAATCGTTTCATTTTTTACATCATTCAGAGGTCTGTCACTTATTCTGATGATTTAACACCCAAAATCAGCTTCATCTAAATGCTTCAGAGTAAAGTAGAAGGTTGTGCTGTACATCTAAAACATGTTGTGTTAATATTAAAGCACATAAAAGGTTGAAAGAACACTGGATTTGTGTGTTAATGTTTGAGTGGAACAATTTGGGTCAGCTTTTGGCTTAAGATCCAAGTTTCCAGATTAGAATTAATGACCTGCTAATCCATCCCGAAGAATTCCCGATCAGCTGATCAGAAGAGAAGGGGTTATCTGTGGAATCAAAGTGGGCATGCCACAAGAGTGGGCGTGTCAAAAGCATAAACACTGTGGGCTACAAGGCCTACATGATGGTATCCTTAGATCCTGCTTGATGTCTTTACAGCCTGACCCTGACCCCAACACTAAGGTTAACCAGGGGAAATGTGACCCAAGTAGGGGTCTCCAGAAAAAGTGGTGCCGTACAGTAACGCCCCTTTTGTTCTTGTCCAATCAGGTGGTGCCGTACAGTAACGCCCCTTTTGTTCTTGTCCAATGAGGTGGTGCCGTATGGTAGCGCCCCTTTTTTGCTTGTCCAGTCAGGTGTGTCCCTTTAACAAATTCCGTCAAATCAGGTGTGTCGCTTTAGAATCRCCTTTCCTTGTGACACGCCCAATCGTCCCCAGAGACCCCTACTTGGATCAGAAGCCTGAGTGGAGCCTAATCCCCATGAGTTTTATGCAGAACAGAGAGAAAGCCATCCTGCATGTACAAATTTGGTTCTTAAGTGAGTTTCTGCTGCTTGTGTTTGACGGCTCTCACCGTGCACTCGAGCTTGGGGTAGTAAGGAGTGTCCCCGATGATGTCATCCTCCGGTGGCGTGATGCGTAGGAAGTCCAGGTGATCAGGACGTGGGATGTGGGAAAGGACCACCTGAGGATCATCGCCGTCCAGCATCCAAATATCATCTGGACGCAGGAGGGAATCTTCTACACAAACAAATAAAAAAATGCTCCACTGAGTTACACAAGGCCTTAAAGCTGAAAAAGAAAACACAACAGATGTGGTTCTATCTGACTCAGCTAAATGAGCAGAAAAGGACTGAGGCAAATAGTTTGTCCCTCATTTGGGAAGGTAACCACAGTGTTGCGAAGTAGAAAGCATGAGAGCAATCTCTTCAAATCAATAGGCAGCAACAGAAACCCTGTCGAGCAACAAGCTGAAGGGCACGCAGCTATTTTTGATTTTTCAACACCATCCTGTTCATCCAAGAAAAAAAAAAAAAACAGCTGCAGCACAAAGGCTGCAAATATATTAGAAAAAATACTTCAGCATAATCCATCTTCATTCAGACACAGATGCATCATCAGTTTTATCACTGTGGAGGTGGAGGCTATTCATTAAAGGCACACGCACGCACGCACGCACGCACGCACACACACACACACACACACACACACCTAATTGTTTAGCTGTTCCAAGGTCCAGAGTTTGCAGAAATGTCTGACTTTAATGAAAACAGGGAGACAGTGCCCTCTCCTGACTGTTCAGTATGATAAAGAATGTATGAAAAAAAAATCTTGTAGCCAACAGTGTTGTATAAAGTACCACAAAGTGATACTTGAGTAAAAGTACGAGTATCTTACCAAAAAATTACTTTGGTAAAAGTTAAATTCTCCTTTAGGACTATTACTTGAGTAAAAGTCTTAAAGTAT